TCCCACTTTCAGTCCTTTGGTTGATCTCCTCCTCTGTTCTTATGAATTTGTCTGCGAGCTTGAGGAATTCAGCTACGGTCGCAGGCAGGTTAACTACCATGTGCCACCTGAACTCCTTGTGTGTCACACCCCTTTTGGCTGCCACGAGCTGTACCGTGGGGTCTAGACGCGGTATCTGCAAGCACGCGTCATTGAACCGTTTGACATAGCCCCGGATGGACTCTCCTTCCCTCTGGACTATTCCAAGGAGGCTCTCCTCGGTTCGAGGGCACCGCTTGCTAGTAACAAAGTGCGCGGTGAAGACTTGCACGAACTAGGTCCAGCTTCTTATCGACCCGGGGGGCCAGGTTCCTGTACCAGGTGTGGGCCACTCCCCTGAAGGTGGTAGTGAAGGCCACACACATGCAGGACTCGCTGGCCCTCTTCAGGTGCATTTGGGACTGGAAAGCATCGACGTGGTCATTGGGGTCAAAGGACCCATCATACTTGTCTAGGGGAGGGAGTTTGAAATCTTTGGGAATGGGAACCGCAAGGAGTTCTGATGACAGGGGGAAGGAACTGAGAGAATAGGGGCAAATTTTACCTCGTCTGAGCTTGTTTTTTCTTTACCTCGGAGCTCGGGCAGGATGCGGGTGGTAGTTCGGTGACTTCACTGTTGCTTAGAAGGCCTAGTATTGGCTCTACTTGCCTCGGTGTTGCCGAGCTCGATCGGCCCGGACTGTTGGTAGTCCGCGGCCAGGATGCCAAATTGGTTCTCTGCGAGTGGGAGCTCGAACTTAGACTGTCGAGGTGCTGACTTCGGCAAGGAGGTTCCTGATCTTCCGGCGAGCTGCGAGGCGGGGGTAATTGGTCTTTCCCTCCTGCCCGGGGATGAGGCCTGGCTCCTGGAGGGGTTCTGAAGTTGGGAAGCTTCCCCTTGGTGAAGGCACCCGCCCTTAGGGGAGGGCTTGACCGGCTTCGGAGCAGGGTGCTGAGGTGAGAGCTGTGGTTGGTTCGGAGGCAGTTGAGGGAACTGCTGTTGATAGTGACACTGAGAAATGTGGTGCAGTACTTGCTGCTGATGGAGTCGATGTTGCTGGAACTACTGCATTTGGGCTTGCATTGCCCGCATGCACTGCATCAAGTCATCAAGCTAGTTCTGGCTGGTCGCCAGAGAGACAACAGTTGGTTCGACGAAAGTTGTCTCGATAGGGGGGGAAGAGGAACATTCACAGGTGCCACCGCACTCGGTGCATTGAGGTTAGGGATTCCGTCCATCGATAGGGGGACAGTGAACTATCCGATACATACAGTGGCGGGCTGAGGCTGTTCCCCTACAACATTCAAGTCGGCGTTGTGCCTGTTGCTGCTGGAGGAAGCCATGGGAGCTAAGGTTTCTTTGAGAGAGAGAGAGTTAAAGGTTAGGGTAGGCATTTTGAAGTGTTCCCACAGACGGCGCCAAATGATGATGTGCAATCCGGTCGGTCCTAGCTTCTGGTTACCTTGCCTCTGACGAATTTGGAGGTGTCTGAAACAAGGAAGAAAATGGAGACTTCCGGGGAGGAACCCAGTTGGAACACTCCGAAGCTCAAGTTAGTGCTCTTGAGAAGGCAAGGGAAATGAGGGACTTCAAGACCAGAAAGCACAAGAATCACATACCTCCTTTGGGGGAAGGGGGCCTTTTATAATCACCCTGGTACACTCACTCTCATACCTCTGCCAGATCGGGCATCATTACCTCCGCCAGATCGGGTGTCATCATTTCTGTCAGACGCTAGTTCGGGTGTCATAACCTCTGCTAGACGCCAGTTCGGGTGTCATAACCTCTGCCAGTTGCCAGTTTGGGTGTCATAACCGCCACTGTCCTTGTTAGGGCCATCTCTGCCACGCCTGAGATGGCGGTGGCAGGTGGCCGTTGGAGGGCGGCTGTCATGTGTCGGACCCCTAATCAGTCAAGCGTGAGCCGCCTCCGTGTACGGGCATCCTGGGCGTCAGGTACGGTTGTTCAGTTAGGCGACTTGGAGCTGAAGTGGTGTGCGGGGTGGTCTTGAGTTTGGATAGAAGTGTGGCCCGAACTGCCCCAGGGTGGGCCAGCTCGGGTTTTTTCCCTTTGCGCTCCTTGTAAAGCTCGGGACCTCCAAGGGAGAGCTCGGGTTCTTCCTTGGGGAGCTCGGGTCGTGGGTTCCTTTTTTGGGGGAGCTTGGGGCTCCCTTTCTCGGAGCTCGGGTTGTGGGCCCGCTGTCGTGCCGTGCTGGCATTTCTGCCATGTCACTCTCGGTTGCTTCCACGTGTCGCGTGGCCAAGGGGTCGGGCCAAATCATCCTCCATCATATATGTATTATTTTATATTCAATTTATGTTTTTAATTAAGTATTTAATTTTTATTTATAAAAGTATTAAAATTTATAATTTAAGACAAAAAAAGGGTTTTTTTCACAAAAATAGCGGGGCAAGGAATCTACAACGCCTTGGGACACATAGATCTTGAAAAGTTACCCAAAATAAAAAATAATCACCTCAATCAGACATCGGAGCGCAAAGTTATGGCCTCTTGAAGTTTGCATATATAGTTAGTATGCAACCCGGTCATCGAGTTGACCGGGTCAGCGATCCAACCGTCTAGGTTGGACGTTTTTTGACAAAGTCAATGGTTTTTGGCATTTCTCCAGGTTTTATTCGAATCGAACCCGGAATCTTGATCAGGTGACGGTTTGAACAGTTCAACCGACCGGGTCAATGGTAGGTTGAAAACACTTATCCAAATTCAATCCTTCCAAGACCAGGATGGTCGGGCCACCATTTGACAGACCACCCTCAATGTAGTCCAAATCATCAAACATATATATATATATACTCACACACAAAATGGGTGTATTCTCCGAGCGCTAAATCAAATCTACTCGTGTGAGTAGATTAACAATTTCATATACAAGCATTTCATACGTGTGATTGTCTCTCCCCCATCAATCTCTTGAACCTTCTTTATAGGCTGTTTGGCTTCTCGGAGAAGCTTATGCCCCCTCTCTCCCTCTCTTGAACAATGAATTAAGTCATCTCCTCTCCCCGTGGTTTCTCACTTAGCTATCTCCTCTCCCCCCTTTTTCTCTCAGTCCTCCATAGCCATCGCGTTAACTCTCTAGCTCAATCTCTTTTTTTTTGGAAAAACTTCAATCTCTTAAACTATTTCTAAGTTTTAGGAAATTGATTTATTCACCCCTAATATTTTGAAATTACTTTAAAGTACTCCAGCTTTTATAATAATTGATTAAAAAAAACTATTTTACCCATCATTCTTCTTTAAATTTTCAAGACATTCTAATTATTAAATATTTTTGAATTATTTAATTATTTAAATTTTCAAGACATTCTAATTATTAAAGTACTCCAGCTTTAATTATTTTAATTTTAATTAATTATTAAATATTTTAGTAGTTTTTAAGACATTCTAATTATTAAATATTTTTGAATTATTTCAGACTTTATTACTATTTTTATTATTATTTTAATTCTTAATAGATACTTTCCAATTTTATTCTTATTTTAATAAATTATTTATTATTTTTTATAATTTTTATTTGTATTATTATTAATTATTTTAATTTTTAATAATTATTAAATATTTTAATAGTTTTAAGATATTAATTTGCTAATTATTAAATATTTTCTCATTGCTTCATGGACTTTATTACTATTTTCATTATTATTTTAACTTTTAATTATTTATTTTTAATTTATAAGTTTATATGTATTTTTCAATTTTATTCTTATTTTAATAAATTATTTTTTATTTTTATAATTTATTCATATTTTTGAATTTAATATTTTATTTATATAAAATAGTACAAATTGAACTTAAATTTACCAAATAATCTATTCTAAGGATAAAATAGTAAAATCAAAGCATTTAAGATATTAAAAGTTTATTCCAACACAAACAAACTTAATATTCAAAATTTTAAAAAAATAAAAAAAAACATCAATCTCTCTTTTTAAATTAAAAATACTTTTACTATTTTAACTTTTGATATTTCAGATTTCAAATTTATCAAACGCCACCTAAGAATCGAATCTCAAAAACTTAGGGTTCTAACTCGTAAACGCGTGGAATTGTGAGTTATCACCATAACATTAACAAGCAGTCAAGCAGTACAACAGGATTTAGGGAGGCGTCCCTGGACTGAAGCACGAGGAAACACGTAGTAATCCACGTTCTTCCTAGCATCAACGCGGTACCTCTTCACTGTATCTCCATCGATTGATCATGGATTCCAAGCCCGCAAACCCCAAACCCCTGGAAGATATTTTCGACTCCTCTGTTAATTTAGAGGAGACCCATTTTCAGGAGGGTTACAAAGACGGTTTTAACGATGGTCTCGTCTTGGGGAAGCAAGAAGGGAGAGAAGTAGGTCTCAAACTGGGGTTCGAGGTTGGGGAGGAATTAGGGTTTTATCGAGGTTGCGTCGATGTCTGGAACGCTGCAAATCGAGTTGACTCCAGCTGCTTTTCGTCCAGGGTTCAGAAAAACATCAGACAGATGGAAGAGTTGATTGAAAAATACCCATTTTTGGATCCAGAAAACGAGAGTGTCCAGGAAATTATGGATGCGTTGAGGTCGAAATTCAGGGCCATTTCGGCCACCTTGTCGTTAAAATTGGAATATGATGGGTACCCTAAGTCCACCGATGTTAAGGACTTGGAATTTTGATGAAGTTTCTCTGTTCATGGTTATCTGTACTGTACTGATTGCTTTTTCCTTCTTGTAACCTATTTTCTAATTCATAACTTTGCCTTAAAGATAGACAAAAGGATAAACTCTTCGGATGATTAATTGATTATTATTTGAGAAGAGCTTCAGTCAATCTTCTTATCTAGGTTGTGTCTGCCTAGTCAGAACGGTTCATCTTCCCAGTTTAATTACCAACATTCGGTGCTTGTTTTTTTTTTTTTTTATCAAAATCGTATTTTTGGAGAAGGCATGGCCAAATTCATCTGCAACTGCAGGTATTTGCTGTCCCGATAGCAGGAGTTATTTTGAAATACAAACAGGTGACGTTGATGAAAGTATTAAAGGGTCTTGATTCAACAGAGAGCCCCCATAAGTTCAAATGGAATTTCATTGCCAATAATAAAAGGTGGAGGTATGGAGGTCAGAAAGTGTCTCTCGTAGGAGAACCAATAACCAATTTCTGGGCACTTGCTTTTTATGTAGATTTTGATTCTAAAAACAGTAATCATTGATTCAGTGGTTCCAGTTCCAGAACTCAAAATATCACTTATTTCTCATGTTTTCAATTTCAACCATACCACACCTATTTAAGACCATAGTACAGAATACCCCTTAAATGATGAACTTTGTGCTCTCAAATGCCTTATCGGGTCAGGCTCAAGTTTTCAAATTTAAACCCGATTTTAAGCATCAAGAATCCAACCAGAGGGTTTCCCAGGTCATCCTAGATTAATTTCGATAGATGCATTAGCTATTGTGCTGTAAATTTAACCTGATTATAACCACATCAATTTACATGAACCTTTTACAACTCCACTAATGCATCAATGTACACTTCGATTGACTGAATTTGATGCCTGAAATGAACATCGCTTGCTGTAAAGATCTTCAGACAAAAGTTTCTGTAACAGTTCTTTCAACCTCTCAGCACCCACACCTGGACTAAATACTGAATCATTACCTCTCAAGGAGCAGGGGTCAGATCCTCCATCTGAACTCCCAATGCACCATGCACCAGGAGCAAACTGGTCTTTGGGCCTACCCAGAAGCTCCTTGTCAATCTTGTCTAAGACTGGGTCATCCTTGGCAAACTTCCGGGCAAATGGGGCACCGCTTTTGACCATGCCATTTAAGTCCTTCATTGTCAAAGAGCGGGGGTGCTGCTTTGGAGGATTATCCCAAGCAATATAGTGGAGGTCATGGCTCACAGCAGTGTTACGGAACTCTTCTGTGTTGCAGATAACAGTGTGGAAGTAGCCTTCTGGTGATGAGACAAAATTCGTGTAATACATAAGGAGAGTTCGGGGGAGATTGTCCCAACCCCATATACAGTATTCAAGGAAGGACCTGCTGAGCATCACCCATGCTGAACCTGTAATAAAAAAGGAAAATAAATTTATCAATAATTTAGATTGAGATTAAGACAGATTTTTGGAGAATGACTTCCACAGAAAAAAACGAGTAGGCAAAAAACTTCATAAAGTAAGTTTTACAGACGGAAGTAGCTTCTATGATTGTAGGCATTAGAGTTGCACAACCATGGGTTATAAGAATTAAGAACCCAAAATGTACAAGGGAACGGTTAAGGGCTCCTCAAGGTGGTGGTCAAGGACGATTAAACCACTAGACTTAATCCTTCAGTTACATGGGCAACTCGGTTTTGATAAGATAATTCTAGTAGGGAGAAACTGCTAAGTCAAAACATGGGCATCACTATTCTATGCCTAAGAGCTTTGATCCAAGAGATCAAATAGGAGATGTTGCTTCTGCAAGGATCCTGATGGAACTAGAGTGGAATAGCCAATAAAAAATTACCACCCAATACTACACCAGAAGCATGTGTGAGAAGACTAACACACCATTTAATAACTAACACAACTTCTCATTAAAATGTTGCATACTCTTTCTCAATAGTACTGATATCATATGATAAAGTTGCCAGGCATTAGTCAGAAACACATATATTTGTTAGAAAAAAAAAAAAAAGATGTTGAAGAAAACCAAACGACTCTTCAAAGAGAAGGGGATGAAAGAATGAATCAAGTACGTACACAAAAAACTAAAGACTAAGCATATATCATATTGAGTGAACAAGTAGTCTGAATGGTTGATAATAAGGCTGTTTTCAGTAAAGATAAAACAACATAGCTTGACCAAAAATAACATGATTACATGTCAAGGCATGTTTTTGAAATAAAAATTAATACTATCCAACACTCAAATCACATCATCCCTATACCCCCACCTTGGTGATTTGGTGGTTTTCCCAACTACTACTAGCCATTTTAAGTTGTAGTATTTTAATATAGAACTTGCACAAAAAGAATGGTTTATTATGGGCATGTGCTTTTGGGCTGAAATTAACCCCACAAAAAGATGACAATGAGATGAACATCTTGGACCCTTTGAGCTCCTGCTAGTCTGTTGCATTGGAGATTCATGGGTCATGTAGTAGTAGTAGTGTTGATTAAGAATATATGGAAGAAGGAAATGTGTTGATTAGACAAAATTTTAAGTTCTTCCTTATTGGTTCAGGTTTTGAAGTCTTTGAGGGTTCAATACAGCATCTAGCAATGTTTGTGTTGATTAAACCCTAACAAATAAGAAAATAATAAAAATAAATTAGTATATAAACACACAGAATGAATATTTTAGTTCAATAATATCTATTTTATAGTTATAATCTCAAAAAATAAAGAATAAAAATTATTTTATAATAGAAAGTACAAAACTGCTAGGCGATTAGGCAAGGCGAGCCTCAAAGGACACCTTGTCGCCTAGGCATCACCTTGACGACTATGCAAATAGGCTAGCAAATACCCCATATATTATGACTTAATATTTTTCATTAGTTTCAGTGCAACAAAACTTGCCAGTGACATTGACCATAACAGAATACTTTACGAAAAGCAAAGACAGAAGAAAACTAACAGGACTTCATGCAGAAAGTGACTGAATGGCGCTAGATTGTATAATTGATTATAAACCCACTATTTTCTCATGTAGGTAGATTGTAGAATTAGACCAGATTATAGAATTGATTACAAAATCCACACACCAAATCCATACCAAAAACCTTGAGTTCAAGTCCTATTCTGGACATAATTCAGATTATAGTGTGCAATTTAACAATTACAAGAAAATTTTGATATGATTTTCATAGACCAAAAGGCTAGCAATTGCTTCAAATGATGTATTCAACCATATCATAAACCAGCTTGATTATGTGCTACCATGTAATGAATATGTATATGGTCTTCGCTTGCTTGATTTCAAAAGAACTTCAGTGTAAATTCATCATATCAATCAGATCAAATTATTACACTTGTACGAGGACAGTATGACATAATCAAGTAGATGCTGTTACCAGTAAATAATTTAAAAAATGTTGGAAGGGAACGCCGTTGAGTAGTCCAAAAAATATTAGACTTTTTTGATAAGTAAAGACCTGGATCAACGATGATTGGTCTTGCTCTTTGGTTCCTGTAAAATTTTGTAAGATTGTTATGTAGGGTATACCAAAGGTGTAATTGAAGATGACAAAAACTTGAAATGTTTATGTTATACAGTCATGTACTTACAATTTCCACCCAATAATGGGTGTATGTTCAATAAAATTGAGATCCCTGGACAAATTAGTGAAAACATGAAGCAGATCTGTGCAAAAAAAGAAAATTGAATAAGATTTATTTGCCATACAGGGACCATAGTTATGCATAAACTTGTATGCGCATGTCTGCTTCTGTGTATTTCCAGGGTAATAGTACAATAACCTAGGATTATAGCATAGAAATAATGGAGACAGTGAGCTAAATTTAAAACTTCTCCTAGACAATGGCATCCATGTATGTAGGTCAAAGCAAGAGCAGTAAAGCCTCAATACAATATTTCGAAATCCTGTGTGCAACTTATTGTCTATTTTATCAAATATGTCATTCTTAGATACCAAATGACTTCGCAGTCAAGATAATTGAAACATATTTAAAAAACTTGTCATATTTGACCAAGACATGCTTCTATTGGACCTCCTTACTGCTGGTGGGAAAGGTGGAATAGAACATATAATCTCATTGTTGTTCACTATTTAGGCTGCAATTTAGGAGATTCTAACCAATGTCTGGAACTTCCAACTTTAAACCACTAGTTAACAAGGATATTGAACTGTGTTTTCAGGCCTTACTGCAAGGTACCTGCCAAAGGGGCTTCAGAAAACAAAACAAAGATAAATTTATATAATTTGTTTCAGACTTTCAGTTGTTATTATATATGTTTGTCAGAAAGTACAGTTTGTTTGACAATGCAACAGAAAAAGACTAAAACTAGAAAAGGCTGATGTAGGTGAAAGTTAATACTTAATGCAATGGTATACAACTAATAACTGGAAACAACAGATATAGGATTTGCGAGTGTCTAACACTTGAATATGACAAGGTGTCTGACATTGCCAACTCAACTCAATAGAGCTTCATGCCCTCATCATAATATGTCTGACACTGGCAAGTTCCAGATGAGAAAAGTGAATATGCCCATTATATAGCTAAATCGCCTTCATATAAGAAGCTTCACAATTAACTTCACTTGAACATGTGGGTACCTGTTAATTGTTAAGTTACCTCTTAAGGTATTCTAGTGTATCCTAACTTTTACCATTTAAAATTTAAACTGGTAAGACATGTAATTCAGAGAAAAGTTGAACCAGAGTTTGGAAACCTAGCAAATGTGTCACTGACAGGACATGACTGGAGTATTTCGAATTCAATATGGAGGTTAAGAAAACGTCCAACTTATTGGTACCAATTAACTCCAGGGCTGTGATCAAGTCCCTCAAAAAGTTTGGAAACCCAAATTGAATACCAAAACTTCTCATCCAGTTTACAAATCAAAATAAATAAAGAAGTAAACAAAAAACAAAAACTCCTCATCCAGTTCAGATATGGTGGTCTACAAGCAATTTCAAGAACAAACACGATGCTGAAGGTGTAGGTAATGCATGAAGTCAAAGGTTAGTTACTTAAATCTCAACCCAATGCCAAACAGAAAGTAACTTAAGAATCTGTTTAATTTAATCTACTTTTAGCCTAAATTAGATTTAGAGATGTCAAAACTCGCCCATTTGATTTCTTATCACCCAAAGGATATCCAACTGCCTATCCAACAAGTTGGTGATATGGTTCAGACATAAATCTAGCAAGTTATTGCCAATTTGTGAACCATGTAGAAGTTTGTACCAATGTTAAGACCTTGGGCTGACAAGTGCAAAAATGTGGATTTGTGTCTGAAAGTGTCCACTTGTGAGGGAAAAAAACAAAAACAAAGGTTAGGTCTGTATCCTGATGACCGGAAAAATCATTGAGTAACAACCCATCAAGATTCTCTATGTTTGATTTTTTTTTGGATTTTTGGAATAGAGTTTTGTTAGTTATGGGCTTCTTTTCAATGTTTCAGCAGAAATTATATTAGAAGCAGAGTGGAAGTTGCAATGAGTCAAAGGCCTATGTTTAGAACATATCAATACAGTTTAGTTAGTTCCTAAGTCTTTCCATCTTTTATATGATGCTGAGTCTTTTTCAATTATATGATACTGAGAGTTTCTAAGCAATCTTAGATTCAGAAAACAAGTGTTTATAAGGTCTGCATAACAGTTATAAATATATGTTTGATGTTGATTTCCACAAAATATTGGGTAATTTCTCCTAATAGATTCTCTAAATGGTGATGTCTGGACAACCCTTGTTCATCCTATTTTGTTCTTTCGCATGTTTCAACTTCCACCTCTGGATACATGAATAATTCTTAGGGCCTATCATAGATCACTCCTACCCCATAAACCATCCTCTGTAGGTTCCAAGGAATTAGAGCAGAATCTCATCCTATCCCTCTTGATATGGAAGCATTTAAGCCTCCACAAGTACCCAACAACCCAGAAAACCTAGAGCTACAATTCTACAAAATAATTAGAATAGATCTGAACTACATTGGAGTAATCCTTGGATCATTTTGGAGGAAAATAATGTAAAACCAAAATTTCAGTTGTTAATTGTTACACCATAAGGTCCATGACTACTAAGAATATCACTGGTGTCTAAGGAGTGAAAGCAAGTGTCTAACTATCAACCATAGACAATAAAATAATAAAAAAATGTTCAAGACAATGGATTATACCAAATGAAGAAAGCATACATCTAGCGACTCCAAAAACCATATGAAGAATAAAAGAACAAATAAAAAGCAAAAGCCCACTACTGACGAGATCTGATTTTGTCCTCGCAAAACTGGGGTCCTCACACTCTCCTCACAACACTTGCAGCCGTGCATTGGGAACATCTCCTTACTTGTATGTTTTCTTTCATGGGAAGATGATCCCAATGCACGGCTGCAAGTGTTGCGACTTGTAAGAACTGTGTGAAGACCAAATTTGAGGACGAAATCTGGATTCACTACTGACCATCTTGTGTGACAAGAGGATAATCTGAAGCACTGAGGTTAATAAACCAGTCCCAATCAATGCTCTCCTTCAACATAATAGCTACGGCTTGAAGAGTAGAAGCTATCATCGTAGGGCCCCTGTAAGTTACCAAGTTAGATTGCGCCATTACACGCACATTCTCCACTTGACGAAATGTTGGATCAATTTTTATAGTTGTGGTCAATTCTATTCTTTCACGAGGAGGAGCCTCAAGATCCAAATGCAGAATGTATTGATTTCTTGGATGATACACAGCCTGTAAAGTCCTCCTCATTCTCCGAGTGTCGCCCTTTGTTCCCGAAATGAGATAAGCTATTCTTGGTGCTTCCATTTTTGAATTTCTAGGCCGACCAAAAGATCTCTTCAAGTTTGATTCCACAAAATACTCACTAGTATCCTCCATTCGAGCAAATGAAATGAAGTCAAATGAAAGAGGATCTTTTCCATGGGGAGAGGAGAAAAGCCCAAAAGATGTTGCCAAAAACAGAGTAACAGACACGAGCAAACTCGCAAAAAATGGAGGAATCCACCTTCTATCAGTAAATGCCCTTCCAGAGTGAGGATGGGCATTCTTCCTCATTACTTGTTTAAAGTAGTTAATAATATAGAAATGGCCTGTTTATCAATCCCTGACTTCTTAGGGTTCCAATCCTCAAGACAAGCAATCCAAATCTTCTTAAGTGAGAAAGAAGCTCCGGAAAGAAGAGTAAGAAAACCAAAGAGAAGCAAAGAGCTTTGGTAACGGAACCAAAGCCACCATATCCGAGGGATGATTAACATTTAATCTAGGCCTACCCTACTGACTTCGAAACCGAAACATAGGTTTTGAATAAAGTTGATACATTCACCTCTGTAGACAGACTATATAAAGTAGTTCAGTTTAAAACCAAAATTGGAATTTCGAAATCTTTGATCTATCCAAACTTAGGAAGCCAGAAAGCAGATGCCAAGTCCAACCGAAACAAGTTCTATTTTTCTCCCCAGACCTGAGAACTCCAAACAAAGACCTCAAAGCGCTCACCTTCTTAAAAAATGAGAACACCTTCCGTAAAACAGCAACATATGAAAAGGTGAAATCAATCTGTAAGGTAGGACTTTGTGAAGAAGTGATTTCCGGATCTTATAACGTGAAGAGATGGAATAGGAAACTAAATTGGGTAGAGAAATAGAAAGCAAACCTAATTTGAGGACCGGTCATGCTGAAACTTCGAATTCAAGATTCAGATGCTTCAAGGGACAGCAAGAAATGGAAAATGTCATATGTATATTAAACTAAAAAAACGACAGAAACGGCTTGATAGAATAAAAAACGGTTGCGTACTAAAGAAGTGACGAGTCCAATGAAGATGACATGGAAGAACCTCGGAAGGTCGAACTGTTGCTTCTTTTTTTCTGAAGTCTCGAGTTTCAGATTAAAAAGATAGGGCAGAGAGAGCTAAGGTCGACAGAGGATTGGTGATCAAAGGAAAACTTTTATTAAAAAACCTCCATTAATAAACACATTAAAGTTTGGAGCTTCTGAAATCTGAGTGGAACACACACTCTCTCTCTCTGTATCTCAGTATCTCTGAAGAAAAATTAGTTTAAATGGTCCGGCTGTCTGGGAGAGGACATTTGTCGTACACAAAAATTTAAAGGATATTCCCCGGAAGAACGAAGGAATTTTTTTTTCTTTGAAGGCGAATGAGAACGAAGGAATTGAATTTGAGTATTACTGTATTAGGTAGAATTTTTTTAATTATTATTTTGGGGTAAAAGTACGCATTATCGCATCGTATCGATACTTAGAAACGGCCGAAACATTTTTTTTTAGTTTTTTTTTTATTTTGGTTATTTGGGAAGTTTTTTTTAATTTTTATTTTATTATTAGAAAAAGTTGGGGGGTCCAAATGCAGGTGCTTCGGACTGTATTTTTTTCAAAAGATACTATACAATACGATACGCCCGATACGGGGCATATAGTATCGATACTTTGAATCATGGGTATTAGGTAGGAATGACGAATGAGATTTTTTTTTTTTGATACGCAAATGAAACATCCATTAAAAACTAACCAGCAAACAAAACAAAGGAAAGACTCACGAGAGGTTAGCTTGAATCAGAGCTAACAAGGGATTGAATCCAAGCAGGGCAGTTAAAGATGAATAGACCCCGATCCTAGAAACCTCTCTGAGCCAAAGTATGAGAACTGGAACTACAACTCCTATTCACAAAAGAAAAGGAAACTGAAAAGGATTTGGACACACTCAAAATATCCTTTAGCAGGGTTTTTACAGTAGCTGGAACCTCTGAGAAGCCTTTTAGAATGGCATTCACAATCTCCTAGCAATCAGATTCAAGCACACAAAAAGAGAGGCCCGCCACCTTTGCCAAGTCTAAGCCTTGCCTAACCGCAATAGCTTCAGCCTGAAGAGCTGAAGCCACAAAAACAAGTCCATAGCAGGCTGCCACACAAGCACCATTGTGATCTCTGATCACAGCACCAAAACTTCCTAAACTAGGATGTCTGAAACCTCCATCCACATTCATCTTAAAAACACCTGCATGGCTGCACAGGGAGGCACCCAAAAAATGTTGCAGCTCCAGGTTATTTCAGATACACTCATACCTTCTGAGAAGCTCTTCGAATTCTCTGTCATGAGCGACAATTGCCTACAAACATCCGAAAGGATAAGATTCACATTGGAACTATCATTATCAAAGATAACTTTGTTTCTGGCTTTCCAAATGAACCAAAGCAAATAGGTTGTGTTTTGGAGAAGAAAGGTTGAGTTTTCTTTTGAAACTTTGCAGGATTGGATCCATCCAGCAAACCGGTCAGTGAAGTTTATAGTTGGAGGATAAACCTCCATTCTTGTATTGAAACAACTTCCAAACCACACCTTCCTTATCACCTCACAGGAACATAAGGCATGAAAGACAATCTCAGGTTCTTTACCACAAAGTCTACAATTCTCGGAGTTGATAATTTTGCTTTGGACCAGATTAGAGCTAACTGGGAGAGCGTTCCTACAGCATTTCCAAAGGAAAGATTTTATCTTCGGTTCCACTAGTAATTTCCAAATTGCTTTCCATAGAGTACTTCTTGGCACAAGGTTAGTCACATTGTTCTCTGAAACCTGAATTTGTTTTGCCAGAAAATAGGCCAACTTGACACTGAAATTACCTTTAGTGTCTGGGATCCAAGCTAAAACATCATCCCACTCACCCCTAGCTAAATTGATTTTTTCAATTTGGTCAGCAATAGTCCCACTGAAGCAACCCTAGATTACTTTAGCATTCCATCTTCTATTCTCAAAATCAATAAGCTCATTGACAAATTGAGGAGTACCTGGTCTAGGATTTGGCCCCATAACCCTAAAGCCCTCCACCCCCAGGAGCCACGTGTAGGCAACTTGTCCCTAAGAAAATTTTTATTTATGAAATATTTGTTTTGAATTACTTGTGCCCACAGACTATTCTCTTTATTTGCTAGCCTCTAGGCTAACTTGGCTAAGAAAGCCACATTGAAACAATGAGGTTCCCTGAAGCCAAGGCCACCATTGCCTTTGTTTTCTGTTAAGGACTTCCAAGAAAGCCAATGAATCTTGATTTACTCATTTGATATTTCCCCCACCAGAAGGACCTTTGGAGCTTGTTAATTTCATTACAAATTTTCTTTAGAAGAAAACAAGACATGGAGTAAGCAGGGATGGCAACAATCACTGATTTCATGAGCACCTCCTTGCCTGCTTGGGTAAGGTACCTCTCATTCCAGGCATTTGTTTTCTTTTGCACCCTCTCTATCAGAAAGGAGAAAAGATTTGCTTTGGATTTGCCCATCTAGGTTGGCAAGCCCAAATACTTTGATGGGCTCCTAACAAGCTTGATTTTTAGACTTTTTGCTATTATCCTCATGAATTAGGATGGGTTTTAAAGCTAAAAAAACCTCAGATTTTGCAAAATTCACCTGTTGACCGGAGGCCTTTTCATAATTTCGAATTGCTTCCACCACATGGGCACCTTCTTGGAGGGAGGCTCCAGTAAAGGTGTAGCTATCATCTGCAAAGAAGAGGTGAGATATAATAAGACAATGAGCATTTAACTTGATACCTGACAATTTTGCATTTTGCGCTAGGTCTGTTAGGCTAGCTGAGAACATCTTAGAACACAGAATGAAAAGATAAGGGAAAGAGGGTCTCCTTGTCTTATCTCTCTCTCTGGGATGATTTTTTCAAAATGGGAGCCATTCACCAGAATTTGGTAAGTTACTGTGGTAACACATTCCATTACCCAATGTATCCATTTTGGACCAAAACCTAGAGTTTGAAGGACCCTTTCAAGAGAAGGCCATTCCAATATATCATAAGCCTTGCTCATATCAAGTTTTAGTGCCATCATCCCTCTCTTACCCTTTGAGGTTCTCATATGATGAATGAGTTCATGAGCAATGAGGATGTTATCAGTTATCATTCTGCCTGGAATGAAGGCACTTTGGTTTTTGCTAATAATGGTGTCTAGCATTGGCTTTAGCCTGTTCACTAGAACTTTGGAGATAATCTTGTATATAGTGTTGCACAGACTGATGGGCCTATAAGTTGTGTTCAGTTCCCTCAAAAGGTGGCCTGAGTGAAAGAAGCTCTTAACAACCCTAAAAACATCCTCCTTCACAATGCCCCAGTATTTCTGAAAGAAGTTTGGAAAGCCATCTGGTCCAGGTGCCTTCCTAGGGCCCATTTGGAACAAAGCTATAGTAATCTCCTCAGTAATATCTCTCTCATGCAAGTCCCTAGCATCCTCTATCAGTCTGCTATTACCAAAACTGGTCGCCATATTCAGCAAATCCCCATGAGGGTGTGAAGATTTAAAGATGCTTCCAAAATGGTTAACTAGAATTTCGGAGATCCTATCTTCACCCTCAACCCATATTCCATTGGAGTCCTGTATTTTGGAAATTGAATTTTTGGTCATTCTCTTAATAGTCTGGATGTGAAAGAAATTGGTATTTCTATCACCTAGACTAAGCCAATTAACCCTAGTTTTTTGGGCCCACAGCATCTCTTCTCTTCTTATCCAAGAGTCAAGTTGGTCTTGCAGCCTATTCACTACTTCTATGTTAAAATCATCTCTGTTGTCATTCATTTCTCTGGCTAGGGCTTCCCTCGTTGCAGCTATCTTACTTTGGATGTTCCCAAACACTTCTCTATTCCACTTTTGGAAATTTTGTTGGAGAAATTTACATTTCTCCTTGAAATTACATTGATTTGAGCCTGAAAATTAGGTTTCCCACATCTTTGGATAAACGGTTCACAGTCACTATGGGTCATCTAGGCTTCCACGAATCTAAAACGTCTCGCTTTCTTAGCAAGAGAGACCTCATTATCAATAACAAGGAGAAAATGGTCTGATCCCGAGGCTAGTAGTACCCTAACTCCAACATATTGAAACAGAAGCCTCCAATCTGCATTTGAGAGAACCCGATCCAGCTTGGCTCTTACATTTTCTGCCCCTTGGCTTTTTGTTTGATTAAGTGAAAACTAGGCCCTTACTCTCTAGAATGTTTAAACCACAAGCAGCTATCACCTTCCTATTTCTGAGGATGACTGTCCTCTTTGCCGGCTTTCCCCTCTGTTTGTTGTTTTTGCTGAAGTACATGTTCAGATCCCCAACACACAGCCAAGGGACCTACAGACAGCTAGGATAAATTTTGCCATTTTTCAAAGAAAGTCCTTTTCTTGCTAGCTTTAGGCTCACCATAAATAAAAGAGCAATACCAGTCATCAAGGTTATCATCTGAGATTCTTGCATGGATAAAGTTTTGGTCAGCTCCAATAATTGTGAGCTTAATTTGTTTTTCCCATAATAGAGTCAGTCCCTCTTTATACCCATAGGCATCCACCCCCCAGCAATTCCACTCCCAAAGTCTTCTCAATTTCCTCCGACACCTAAGAAGTGAAGTCTTGGTCTCAGAGAGGAAGCAAATATTTATTTGTTCATCCCTAAGGGTCTTTAGCAGATTTAGAATTGTCCCGAAAGACCCGACCCTTTGACAATTCCAACTGAAAATTCTCATTGGCACCTTAGGGGCTGTTGCGGGATAGCCCCTTTAACCCGCTTGTTTTCAACATCTGAAAGGCACGACAAACAAACCCAGCTCAAAGGAAAAGAAGATAACTCTATCTGCAACAGGGGTGGGCAAAAGCATTTCATTAACCTGGGTACCAATCTGGTTTTGATGCAAGAGCCTTTCCAGATTTTTAAACATGGGCCAGCAGAAAAAACCCGATTTTGTGTAAGTGGAGGATGCTCTGCTCGAGGAGATACGTTTCTTAACCCCACACCACCCCCCCCCACCCCCCTAAAACAACTAGATGACTATTTGGGTAACTTCTAGTGCTTCTGATACTAGAAGGGAGCAATGAGCTCGGTTAGGAAGCAGCTTATGCATTTTAAACAGAGTTCTTTTTCCCCAAAGATTTATGATAAAAAAAGAAAGCAGAGCAATAGCATGGATATTGTACCTCATCGCTGATATCAATATCATTAAGATCGGACTCATTAAACATACCCCGTCCCCCAGTGGGGCTCCACTTGCTAGATAATAGGTGCCGCCGCACCGCTTAATCAATTGGAAAACAAAACGACAAAAAGCCATAAAACTGAATTGGGATTAGATCCTTAGAGAGCGCACCTCACACCGATCTCATTGGCCATGAACCATAACACATATAACATAAATATGGGAGATGTTGAGGAGCAGATCTGGACTCCATAAAACTTGGCATGACGACTCGGGGGTTGGATGAGGGTCAGACCACGACTTGTGTAGGACTCCGGGATCTCCTTGCCCACGACATTTCTGTCCACACCTACACACGAAACACTATCCCCTTACATTGGGAATATCAACCCTGCATGAAATATTTTTCCATGTATGGTTATGAATTGTGACCTCATGTAAGTAGACGTGGATAGGAGATCTGGACTCCTTGTGTAGGACTCCGGAATCTCCTTCTTGCCCACGACAATTCTGTCCACACCTACACACGAAACACTATCCTCTTACATTGGGAATATCAACCCTGCATCAAATATTTCTCCATGTAGGGACAGAATTGGACCGGTTGGTTAAACTTAAAACCATCCATCATCGACATCGGCCTTTTAATGGGCCCAGATGACTTTAGGAACAAGTTTATGAGAACATTTCGAAGGGTACCTTGCGAGCCCGTGAAATAAACAATAAGCGTGCTCAATTAAGTCTATCTATCAAACTCTACTACAACCCCCACTCAACTTAACTTTACAGGTGACAGGCCCATATGTAATTTTTTTCTTTTGGGTCAAAAAGCCCATATGCAATTGGGCCTTTTAAAACACTTTCCATGCTGGTCTTGATTTGGGTATTTTTGTTAACTAGGAACTGTGTTAGCAACCATAAAAAATAAATGCACGTATAACCCTCCAAAAATCATCGGCGCCAAATTTAACAGTTCAGATTAAACCACCATCTCCAAAAGATCCAGCATTCCCATCTTTAAGGGTCCGCATCAGCTCTTGTGGATATCCAACGTGGCAGGATTCTTCTACTCAGATGAACCTCAACTAGGAGTAACTTTCCTGAACAGTTATTGCACAAGATGATTAGGTCAGCGAAACATGCTTTAAAGTCTGAACAAACTCGGCCAAATTAACCCAAGTTCGGACACTAATTTTGCCTGATACTGCATTATAGGTTTTATGCAAGATCAAGCTTTTTCGGGACATGACTAATTTTTCCAGTGGTATATTTTTACCTTGAACAAAGATTGAAGGAGAATTCCAATTTGTGATAACAGAGTTGAATAAAGTCTTGCGTCTTCCCCTCAACATCATGAATACCTTTTCTTGATGGTGGAAACTCTCATTGGCACAATGGAATGATGCAGTGCCTGCTAGTTCATCTCTCCAAATTCATTTGATGATTCATATGGATTTCAAAACCTCTCCTAAAACAACTCCCCACTGAGTCCAGTGTGTGCCACCCTGCATTAGTTAATAAAAACAGGTTTCAGAAGCTAAGTAAATATTTTAGACAGTAGCAATTTTCTAATGACAGATGCTGGTCCCCTTCGAGAGTACATACACCTCATGTTTCTACCATTTAGCTTTGTCCCAGTTTGGTACCAGCACTTTCGGAATCTCAAGGTTTACATATGACATCAAATTGCCTCTTTATTCTGAAATCCCCACTTTTTGCTATTAAGGTTTCAGCTTAACCCAATGGAAATACAACAAAAAATCAAGCAAATACCTGACAAAAAACTGAGAAAGGTTCCCTCAATGGTCCATCACATGAAAGCTCACTTGTGCTCCCATCAATGAATGTTCCATGAGCAAATACCACCTGATCCATTATCCAACCAAGTGTTAAGATGCAAACAATATTTGCCTATTACATCTAACATCTAAACTAGATGGAGATAACAACAAAAGAAAAGAAAAGCAACTGGAAGGAAAGAGAAGAAACAGCAATATAACAAATTAGTAGGCTGCTAGAAATCATAAATTGGGGCTTAATCAACAAAAGACCAGATATAAGTACTCGATAAACAAGAAAAGGTCAATAAGCATTTTGTGCCAAAAATTAAAGAGATGTCTAAAACTGGTCCCTTAAAAGAGACATGTTGATTTAAAGAGGAGCTGAAGATTGTATACAAAAAGAAGAGACATTTAAATGTCCCTTAAAACATGCAGCCTCATATATGAATCTTGAATATAATTTCTCATCTTCCCTTTCAGTAGAGCCTCTATACATATCTCCCCTTTGAAGATCTGCTTATTCCTTTTCCTTTAAGTGGACCAGCAGTGGAAAGGACTAGATTCCACAAAATATAACTACTACAAAATCCCTTTATGGACTGAGCTTGGATGAGTGGCAGATCTCTTGGACAACCAGTTGACAATCAAAAAGTTTTTTATAAGTGAGAGAATATTATTAATAAGGAAAGACTATACAATGGCTTCAGGATGTGAAGTGGTGACAAGGCATCAATATACAGCAAAAACAGCAGAAATCATAACAATTAATGCATTGTTCCTCTGAAACAGGAAAAAAAAGACCTAAACACCTATTACATACTCAATCCATTTCTAAAGTTGACCAGAAATTCACCCCCAAAGAGTAGAGACACTGCAACACCTCACTAGCAACACAAAGGGAACAAAGGTTATGCAAGTTTCTTTTTCTTGATTTTACTGATAATAATATATAGAAAAGTAAATTAAGTTAACAACCAAATCTTCTAAGCCACTTACATAGAAGAACCTTATTCATTAACTTGAAGTGCCCTAACCCTACACCAGTGTGTTTGCTGGTGGCACACAACTTAATCCATTTAACTAGGTAAGTAAATTACTCTACTAATCATTAGAACCCTGCCATCATCACAAATGAAATCACTCTTTCTTCTCGAAGTCTGCAAATAACATTGCCACCATTGAGAATAGAGACATGAAGTAGATGGGAAGATTAAAGAGTGCAGTTTTTACCAGCATCAGTCAATATCAAGAACGAAGCTTATTATACAAACCCAAAGCCATTTCCTCCACTTATGCTCAAACCCCATATACTAAGGTAGGCAATCAAAAAGCTCCACTAGGCATATGGTGATAAGCCTTTTTTAGGACCATTTTACGTGAACTCTGCTTCACATGTCTTTCAGAGTCAACATAAGTATGCTATTCAGCATCTTTCTCTTGCAGAAATGCACCTTTATACATGGAAATGATGAGCACCACGGCCCTTCATTCTACCAACCAAAAATTTAGCAATTATCATACAGTTGATACCAAATGGATTAATGGGCCAATAATATTGGGCATCACCTCTGCTCTTTGGAGGTCAAAGCAATAAAGGCTAAGTTGGCTAATCCAGTAAGCAAAACCTGCACATGGAATTCCTCCACCATGTATAAAGTCAGCAGCAGAAATATCCAAATGCTTTTTTAATCCCATGTGGGCCAATCAAGATAGTGCATTAACTCAAGAAAATAAGTGTGGAATAAGATCTACTCCACCAAATTATGAGAATAAACCAAATCAAATGTCAACAATATGCAAACAAAGGTGCTGATTCAACAATGACAATACATCATGAACCAAAAACTGATCACTGCAGGGAAAGACCTCCAACTATAACTCATCCCTCCCCACTCCACTTGCTAACTTTTCAACTATAGAGTTGGCTGACAAGGAACTAGCTAAATAATATTTTCAATTTTGATGCCAATTATCTAGCCCCATAAAATGGTGAAAGGTAAAGTTCTAACTTCTAGGATCTAAAGAAGAGCATCAATCTGAGACTTGGTGCGGCTACATATCTCCACCCTGATTGATGTCCTGAACCATCCAGGCCTGAAGAATTATAGTATTTTGTAGAGTACCTAAATGCCCCCCAACCCACCCAAATACCTGATGGCCCCAATAAGTCGTGGAGTTGGTGGGAACCAGCTGATGCTTGGGGAACTTGTCCATGAATGTTAAAAGTATTGTGGTTGAGATCAAGGTTTGAAATTTTGGGTGTTTCGGGGTTTAACCCGGTTCAAAGGGTAGACAGGCCTTAAACCGACCCCTCTGAACCATGTTAAAAAAAACTAAAAAAATAAGAGAAATGAGGTTCGATACAGACCAATATGCCCCTACAGGCGTATTGGCCATATCGATATTTTGAACCTTGGTTGAGATGTGTTGAAGGTTCTTGAGTTGATATCCAACATTTTCTGTAGAAGCCTAATTGGGAAACCATTGGGTCCCTAGCTTTTTCACCATATGAAACATTAAGGTTCCAAACCAGTTATTTCAAGCCATCATTAACCCAGGTGGTCAGACCAGTGGCCTGGAGTCATAATCACAGTTCAGGTCAACCGTTAGCCCACTATCTTACCAAAAAACTGTTGACTCAGTCAATGATCTGTAGACCCAGATTTTTTTGAACCATTGAGCCATCTGACCTGTTCAATGAGCTTCTGGTTTTTATTGTTTTAATTTTTGAATTTTTTTATAATGACATCATGGGTTGACCCATTGACCCAGGGGGAAGTGGTTCAACCTCCAGGACCAGGTTTAAAGCACTGGTCCAAACTCCTCAAAAGGTCTGAAGCAAATGAGCTTCTAATCTGCGCTCTCTTCAAGATTGGTCCGAATCAAGCTTGGGTAGAAGCAAGGTTGACTCAATAAAAGGTTTCATATTGCAGTGTCATCCATTCACATTTTGCATAGAATATTCCAATTTTTTCTTGATCAGTAACAAATCAGATATTTTAATTTTTTATCTAATTCAGTACAAGCCATCTCCCAGTCTGTCTCAGTAGCATAGATAGATGCTTACTGGGAAAAAATCTAGGTACCATACATAGTTGTCAAGGTTGCATGTTATCATGTTTTTGTTGTGAGGAAAGTAAAAATCAAAATAACCTTCGAGGGTTTCACTTTGACAAAAGAATCGAACCAAGGAAGAGGAGAAAACAACAGCCCTCCATCGTTCCCACACAGTTCTTCGTTTCGTTCTCTGCTTCCTGGTTTAAAACAGTGGTTATGCCCCATTTTTCTCTTCCTTTTTGTATCTTTTCCCCAAGTTTTTTGAATCATTTTATTGGACTAAAACAGGGGCTCCACCCCCTTCTGTTGTTCTTAAATTTTGTCTATTTTCAGCTTTTTCTCTCTCATTATTGGTGTCTGAAACAGGGGCTCCGCCCCTTCTTTTATTCTTCATATTCTTCTTTTATTTTGGAATTTTTTTCACCAACTTTTCTGGGTCTAGAACAGGAGCTCCGCCCCCTACTTTTCTTCTTCATTTTCTTCTTTTATTTTAGTACTTGTTCTCATCAAGCAACACTGCAAAAAACACAAGCACAAAAGTAAGTGCAGAATACATAACACCAAAAAAACTAGTTCAGAAGGGGTAGAAATCCATCGGCTTCTTATTTTTAAATTCCATCGCCTAGATGAGGGCTAGGTGCCTGGGCGCCCCATGTTCGCCTAGCCTCGCCTTGGCGCCTTGAAAACTATGGTACCATAATAGCAGATCATAACTAGAGTCAGCAAACCTCAAACAAAATGTATGGATCTAGTGGGAACATATATATCTTTAAAGTGTACAAGGAACAAACAGATCAGACTATTAGAACGGTCAAAATGTTAGTTTTTATTCATTAGATCATACAATATATTTCTTCTGAGTGTCCAAAATTATGTGATGGTTAAATCTTGAGCTGACAAGCATGAGAATGCAGGTTTGAGTCTAGATGGTTAACATCATTGTGGTTTAGTTTTTTTTACAGTAATGTAACTCAAAGGTTGGATCATCAAATGGCATCACCCACCATCCATGTGTATCCAATTGGAATAATGTCTTTCATGCCAAGAAGGTTAGAAGGCACAAAACCTTCTTGGCATGTTCTGGAATTCTGATCTCAGCAAATGTGCCTCAAATGCATTTAGAATCCCTGCTATTATACTTGAAGGTAGAAAGTAGGATAAAGATTCATGAAATCAATCCCCTCAAAGGCCATATCTACAACTGATTGAAGAAATCAAAACAGACAAACCTCTGATGCATATCCAGGAGTCGAACCTGCAACTGGCTTTATAAAAGACCCTACAGGACAACTTCTTTGTACAGCCTCACAGAAAGCAAGAAGACGCTCTCGGCTTCCAAGTTGTATTGCCTGAAATGCAGCATCATAATGAGTCACACCTCTAAATTCTTTCAACAAGAGTACAAAAGAACTAAACCAAATAAAAAAAAGAAAAGAAAGAAAGAAGAAATAGCTTATGTGTCATAATCTTTTCTTCATTAAACAAAAGACATGTGACTAAGAATTTAATTGATCAGGATCAGACTAGAGAAGAAAACAAAAAGAATGCACATACAGATCAAATACAAAATTTAAATGGAAAAGCAAGGATAAAATGGAATATGTTTTCCTTGAAGGATTATTTTTCTTAAGGATAAAAGGTTTGTGAAAAGTTCTTTTAGTAGTAAGGCTGCCTCAATCTATAGCTCTTTTTTGTTTAATTCAATAATTTTCAGAAATCAGGTAATAATTTTCTTGTAAAATCCAAATTTTCATATAATATAGCTGTTTCATTTATTACCTCAATGGGCACTACACTATGAAGACAATATAAAGCACCTTTATCCAAACCAACCAATTATATCGTTAGCCAGTGGAACAATCTAAAAAGCCAAGTCAAGCACATTGGCAGCAACAGAGATAAGTAAGATGAAACCTGGACTGTATCATGGCGAGGAACTCGAGGAAGTGGCTGCACCTTATATCCTTTAGATGTCATGACTTCAGCAATAAGGAAGCTTCCCTGACAAAGAGAAGAGAAGAGTGATAATTCTCCACATGGAAGGAAAATCAAGACTAATTCAACCCATAACATATTGCCTCTCATACCTTGACTGCTTCCCCAACCATTTGGGGTGAAAGAAACAAGCCCTGGAAGAAAGAACGCATAATATCACCTGGAGTTGAGCCACAATCTACCCCAAGACCTGGGGCAGAGAGACGAGAAGCAGCTGCTTTCACCCATTTTTCCCTTCCCGCAACATATCCACCACAGGGTGCAATAGTTCCACCTGGATTTTTTATCAGACTGCCAGCAATTAAATCTGCACCCTGCCCATCATTGACAATAACCCATCATCCCTTTATTTATGGAAGGAGTACAAAGCATTCTCATCACATACCACCATTGGAGGTTCCATGCTTTCCACAAATTCACCATAGCAATTATCCACCATGACCATACAATCTGGATTCTGCATCTGTGGGACATCCATCCATGAAATGGTAAGTATAGGTTAAGGAATTCACATCTACACCCCACAGAGGGTGCCCCACATACACATCTCAGTGTGCATTGGGAACATCTCCCAAAGTTCTCAGTGGGAGATGTTCCCAATACACAGTGGGATATGTTGTGGGGCATTCATGGGGTGTCCTCTGTGGGGCGCAGATGTGATCTATTACGAACTTGAGAAATAATAAATTCAAGGGCAAAGTGAGACAAAAAAGGACAGGACTAACTTGCATGTCCTTTTTCCTGCAATGCTTAGTTGACTCCCAAGCATGGGGAACTGGGTAATGGCAGATTGGCAGTGACCCCTCATGCATAGAACCCCCCAAGTCAACAGACTGAATTAAGTGATTCCTTTGACTTTAGACCAGGCCACTTAACTCCTGACACAATCCACTTTCATTGACTTTATGCCCATGCCATATGTCAATATTTAGATGCAAGGTGCCAACCAGCTGGTCGGTTGGGGGATGGGCTAACCCCCCCCCCCCCCGSTTGTGTAGCCCTTCAAAAGAAATAAAAAAAAAAGAATATTGACAAAAAAAATATGTCAATATCTAGATCTACACTTAAAATTCAGGTTGTTATGGATCCAGAAAAAAAAATAGATTTAAACTATTTTAAACTGCAAAAGAAAGGTCTAAACAAAATAGTAGATTCGTTTCATATTACATACTTTAAACAGAAAGTTCAAACAAATTAATAAGCAAGGTTTCCTAATTAAGCCAATTATGGAATCTGGATGACTCAAACTATTTTGCCACATGTAGGAATCTCACGGTCAATTTATATCATTCATCAGATAGGGGACGAATTATTCTAGATTGACCACTTGTTCATTTTTCAGGTCAATATCATCCACATGCCCTACCTTGTATTTGAGTTTTACCTTACCAGTAAAAACCATCTTAAGCTATGATTTTATGATTTGGTATTATGAGGGTGAATACTTATTTTGCATATAAAATATAATTTTTTAAGAAGGTATTTACTAATGCTGAAACAGAAAAGCAAGAGTACATAGTTTTCGACCCAATATATATGAATGGCAAGGGGGCAGGGATCATATTCCCCATTCCAGACCCCAAATTTGAAATAAATCCCCATCAGGGATAAAAGTTGTCCCCCACCCCTGATCCCTGATGGAGACAGGTTCCCCATGGGGACCCAAATCCCTGAAATTTTTTAATTAACAGTATTTTTTGAAAAATAAATTTACTTAGAATAAAAGAAAATTTTAAAATATAAATAATATATATTTAATATGAATAATATATATAAGTAGGATTGGGGCAGGGCAGGGATGTTGGGAACCTCCCCAACATCTATCATTTCACTCTTTGCTAGGTTCACCTTCAAGTCTAATACTATCTCAAACCAGAAGAGAAGATGTCTCAGGTTAAAAATCTGGTCCAGTGAAGCATTACAACAAAAGAGGGTATCATCTGCATATTGCAGAACAGGAATTTTTGTACCAGAGTCTTAACTTATTCACTTAACTTATCCAAATATTCAACTATAGAATAACTAATCACATTGAAGAGGTACACATATAGAGGAAAACTAAATGGAACTTCCATTCTGATTAACTTCTAAATATGGAGGCGTATGAAAAATGTAGCTCCTAATGGCAATTTCGCAACTAACAACTCCTGGTTAAAAATAGAAACTAAAAGCAACTTTAGCAGATCATGCTTTCAACAAAGCCCCATGCCTCTGAGGAGGTACATCACAAACCATCCTCATCCAAGCAGAAATATGAGCTTATTGACTAACCTTTTCGGGCCTAGTAAAGAACTCAATAACCTCCAGTAACTGAATGGATCAGCCCCTGCATCATCAAGTACTCTACTTTCCAGATGAAATACAACAAAACTCATCAAATAACTTTTGATTAAACTGAATGTATGAGTTAGAATATTACATCCTTGAAAACTGGATTTACTCCACTCCAAGTCAACTAAGACTAAAAAGTATCACTTTAGGAAAAATTTTAAACTCTGAAACTCAGAAGTAGCATAATGCTCAAGGTATGACAAATGTAAATCCCAACCCCGCCCCACACCCCAGACAAGCCAACTTCCATGACACATGCACATAACCATCTGCATAAGTTCTTTTTAACAGGGCATGGGCTAATAGCATTCTATCATAATTTGTTTCATAAGATTGAAAGCGCACCTTAATTATCTTTATTGCTCTACCAATTTCATTTACACTTAAACTGCGGCGCCATGAATAACCACAAGATCTTTGTATTAGGGCACATTTTGTTTGAGGTTTCACAGCAAAACTAAGTGCATCCCAGTCAAGGCCCCCATCATTTGCAAGCTGAAAAAATGACTGATATCAGATAAATGAAATTAAAACTTTGAAAACACAAAAATATTTGAGTAATTTACCGGGACTTCTCTGTACTGCACACCAAAGTCTTTCAAGGAACCAAGTCCATAAGAGTCCCTAATTCCAATAACTTCCTCCAATGTGTCATAAGGAGAACCAGCAACTGCTAGAAGCTGATAATTGAATTGATCTATATCAGACTACTAAAATTAAAATGAGTTGAAAAAAAAAATCCACAATACATTATAATTTATATAGGTTTTTTATTTGATAAGAAGTACCTAAAAGCTCACCTCATCCCCTGGCCTTAAAAAGGCAAATAATGCACAAGTGATAGCATGTGTACCAGAAAAGAACTGCCGAAGGTCAGAACAGAACCAACATATCAACTCACATATTAGAGCTGCCAACAAAATTTCCAAAAAAAAAGAACATAAGCCAACCTGTGCACGAACAATTGCTGATTCTGCTCCAACAATTTCTGCAAAAGTTTTGTCAAGTGCTTCACGTCCACCGGCTTCATCATGGCCATAGCCAGTGCATCCAGCAAAGTGCTAAGGCAAATGAGATTGTAAATAGCATCATTAGACAACTTGATCAATATATAAACCACAGCTAGGAAAATCAACACCAGCATAGAACACCCATTATATCATGATGAAGGAGACAACTATCAAATCACATACACTTAGAAGTTACTTAATCCACAGAACAAAGTGTTGCATTCATTAGAAAGATTATATGCAAAGCAGCAGCAGAAGTCATGACAAACCAAATGAAAAACCATTCTATTCCCTGAATCTAGTGTTAAAAATTAAGACACAATTCCAATTGGGCAACCAAAAATAGCAGAATACTTGTAAAAACAAATTCAATGTATATGGAATTCCCTGGCAAATGGTCTTGATGATTTCCAATTGAATGGGCAAGGCATCATTTCAGGTATTAGGTCAAAAAAAATATATGAAAAGATCACATCCATATGAATTCTTATGTATGTGTGGGGTAAAGAGAGAGATCCCCAAGCTCCAATAAGGATCATTTTTTTCACTGAACTATTAATAGTATCAGGTCTCCATTAACATTGCCTTTTTAAAACTAAAACTAAGCAACAACTAGAGCTCCACGTTAGTTAAAAATTATCCACCCAATATCAGGGGGGGAGGGGGGGAGTTTGGCTAAGCTTTTAGGAACAACGTTTTAAAATCCAGCCCAAAGGCTGAACTGCTTTTCCCTCCTGGTGAATAGCTCACTAGTTTACCAAGTCAACATTTTTTTGTGACCAGACAGGATAAAGGCTGACCCCAACCTGAATTTTGACTGGACCACCAATCCAACCAGCTGGGGTGAACAACAGGTCGGAAACACTATTTAGGACTACTTCAAAGCCATTCTCTCCATAACAAAAGAACATGCTAAATCAAACTTTGTCCACACTATTTCTGCCCTTGTTTGCGTAAGCCATGATAATTTCCTTCTTGGTTCTCTACTCTCAAGCCTTAAGTGATGGAAGGTCTTTGCCACCATGATAATGGACAAGGGAGAAAGGGATCATCATCATCATCTAAGTCTTGTCCCAACTATATGGAATCAGTTACTTGAATCCTGTTTCACCACTATTTAGTATCACATCCATTGTTAAATAATGAGCCCTTAAATCATTTCTTACCACTTCAACCCATGTCCATTTTGGTCAGCTAGCTCTTCTAGCCCCTTCAACTTGTAATAGATCACCTCTTCTTATGGGTGCTGTAGATAATCAATAATCATCTCTGCACATGACAAAACCATCTTAGTCTACTTTCTCTCGTTTTATCACCTATTGGAGCTACACTTAGGTTCCTTCAAATGTGTGCGTGTGTGTGTGTGTGTGAGAGAGAGAGAGAGAGGGAGAGAGAGATTCAAGACCAAGATAACTCATATCATCTACTGATTTATAGCTAAACAACAATGTAGTTACCTAGCTCAAGTGCTCAACACTTTGAGAGATCATATATCAAATATAAAATGAAAAAATAGTGAGAAACGTTGCTCACATGTTAACGATTTATGCTCAAATAGTGTATACTCTTCCCTCTTACTATACAGTGTACAATAACACGGTTACCCACTCAACACCTGGTGAGATAATACATTAATGGAATGGTAAATGGAAAAATATGATGTTGACATTACCAATGCCTTACACACAAATAGTGTTTATTGTTCACTCTTTTCTTTCCATCTTGACAATTCGACTTTAAGTGTTTTTTGGGGGTTGGACTGCTTACTCTACAAATAAAACGTGAATAGACTATCATAATCATGTATAGCCTACGTATTAAAAGCATCTTAGTAACATTGCATTCCACAGTTCGCTTAACATAAGAGGACTAAAATTCCCTTGAAACTAATTATTGTATACTTAAAACTAAAGGAGTTTTCATATTAAAAGAAGTGTATAAAGCAATGATAAATTTCTATTAAGTGTTCAACTAAATTTTTTGAACTTTCTACATTTCTGAATTTATCAACAGTGCATCAATTGAAAATATTAAAGGTCATGGTACGGAACAGTTTTCAAAAAGATCGAGTTTTGTATTTGAGGTTTAAGTTGAAAAATCTCGCTTACATGAGATCCAACCCGGGCATTTTGGTAAGCTTTAAGAACACGGATGGTATTTCGCGCCACCAGATTATCCACAGCTCTGAACTCTGAGAACAGAGAATCCACTGCTTCTGCAACCTGAATTCCAGTACAAAATTAAGATACGCAAATTAAATTTGTAATCCGTAAGACGTACATAAGGTTTCAAGTGTCCAGCAAGGGTGACAAGGGTTATTTGCGAGGTTTAACCGTTTAACAACATATTAGATGGCCGGGAATATTTGAGCTTCTAGGTTTTTTTCACTAAATAGCATCTCGTCTTAGGCTTTGGCAGATAGAGTATGATGATTCCTAAATTAATAAAAGCATTGAATTCTGAGCTTAAAATTCCAATCAGAAGGTTAACAAAAACAAATATTATCGTTTGGGATATGGAGAAAGAGATTCACGGCTAATCAAAGAACTTTACCTCTGGAACGAAGGGATGATGGTGAGCGGGGACGAAGTCTTGAGAACTGGAACGAACTGAAACCAAAGTTCTTGAGCTCGAACGAACCGAAACCAAGGATGTGGAGGTTGTTGTTCTACCGGGAAGTGTAGGATAAGTAGGGGTGGCGCAGGATAAGACCCACATTGTTCCGAGAACTGGGAGACACGTCTCACGCAGTGGTCCGAGTGGTACTAGAATATCGTCCGGGAACCGTAGAGGATTTGGAGTGAAGGACCGAAGGAGTGCCTGCTGCTTTGTAAGTTGTGCTTTATCTGCTGTGAGGTGTGAGCTGAGCGGTTTGAAATTTCGAAACTACGTCAGATGGGCCTCACCTCAAGCTCAAGTGCTCAGCTCCCATAGTCCCATGTCCCAAGATGGTAAATTGATAGCCCAATAAAGGGCAGTTTTGGCATTTTGGAGGGAGACAAGGATATGTCAAGAAAAGATGAAACTGACAAGGTGATGATGCTTTGCTAGCATTTGACTTTTGGTATAGTAAAATGGAAAAAGGATGAAAGGGCATCAAGCCCAAGCCCAGGCCCATAAAAGAATCAGGTGGGAATGGGATGTAAATTATGTACGTGAAGGATGGGGACTGGGCAGTGGGCACTTCACACTTGGGCAGTGACGTCCTTGGGATTTGTCAGCCATGAGGCAGCTGGCCTGCTCCGTCCTTCAGTTTAGATGTTCACAGAGACAGAGTACGCTGTAGAGCTCACACGTGTTTCTCCTCCTCCGTCCTCCGTCCTCCGTCCTCCCCTCTCTCTCTCTGATTCTTGCAAGAACTCTGTACACGCTCTAAAAGCATTAGAAGTCAGCCACACATTGAGAATAAACAACTCTTCACGAAAATATTCCCAATGTGCGGCTACGCAGAGTTTTTGAATTCGTAAGAATCGAGTAAAGTTGTGCTTCGAGTACAACTGTAGGTGACTTGAGCCAATCAGAAATCCATGCAGCACTTGATTGGATTGGCTCTGTATTACCAGTAGAATTATTGTAGAGAATTCAAACTTCAACAATCAAGCCGGATTGAATTAAACCCACAATAACAGACTTTGCCAAAAGGCGGATTAAAAGCCCCAACCCTAATCAGAATAAATTCTAACATGGTTTTCGAATGGCCGTTGACTTGGATGGTTGGACCATTTGGCTTGAAAATCGTTCAGGCAATTGGTTTCATTTTATCCCAAATCTGATTCTTGGCCAAAAATCGTTGAATCAGTTAGCGAATTATTGATTCAAGCAGTTGAACCGTTTAACTTATTGACCCGTTTAATGGTTATTATCTTTTTTTATTTTTAAATTTTTTATTAAAATGGGCCGTCCATTCAAATCGGATAATCGAACTGTTAATCCAGAAACCGGTGGTCAGAACGATTCCATTTCCAAATCATTTTTTAAAACATATTCTACTATTCTACTATTCTAATGTAACTTGTCCCGATTTACCTTAACCCAAGTTCCCAACCTAATCCAGAATTCCTCAATACCGACCCAGTCTAATTTCGATTATATTGGTTTTGGGCTGCTCCAATCTCTCTTCAGTTTTATCAAAAAATTTCAATTCTACGCTTTCTTGCATGTTGGCCCAAAAAAATATAACTTTATTATTGTACCCTCTTCCTTTGTTCCAATGCATTTGTTTGGTTTAATGAATTGGCAGTTTACCAAAAAAAACTTGGGCCCATGCATACGACATGTTCCTACCTGTTTCTGTTCTTTGAAAAATTTTTGTTCGGAAACAAGAATCTTATTTCTTATTCTTAAGAAAATAACTGACTTATTTGGCAATTTGTTTCTAAAGAACATGAAACAACGTTTGGAAAGCCATATTATTTCTTATGATTAATTTCTTCATATCAGAAATTGTTAGAAGCCCTTGAACCTAAACTTGACCAAAAAAAAGACTACACTTAAATAGTTTAATACAATTACCCCCCTTCCCCTCCCAAAAAAATCATATAAAAAGAGTAGCATCCAATGAAGAGTTATAGAACGATAAAACTTGGGACTCTTCCTATGACCTTAAATTCTGCAATGTAGGAAAGTTAAAACATTAAGGGTATATTTGGTTTGAAGGAAAAGGTAGAGAAATGAAGGGAAAAGTAAGGAAACCTATACAAGGTTTTTAAAGATTTTTCTATGTTTCCCTATTTTTTCCTTTAGGCTCCGTTTGATTTGTGGGAAGATTTGGGTGGGATGGGATGGAAAAGTGTAAAAATTTAACTTCCATTGTTTGGTATTATATATGGAAAAATAATGAGAAAAGCATTGTTTCACCAAGAGAAAGATGAACAGTAATTCGCCAGTAGAAAGCAAAGACGATGAACAGTGCCGCTAGTCACCATTGGAAAGCGAATAGTGCCGCCGAAGACAGTAGTTCGCCAGCAGAAAGCAAAGACGATGAACGGAGAGGTACTAGAGGGTAAATGACCCTGGTCACCGCCGTCACTGCTCTGATTCTGGGTTCGAACGGGGAAAAAAAAGAAGGGAAGGGAGTGGCTAAGAGGGAGGAAGGGAGTGGTCGAGGGGGGTGCCGCCGCCGCTGCTTTGCTTCTGGGTTTGAATAGGGAAGAAGAAGAATGGAAGGGAGTGGCTGAGAGGGGGTGCTACCGCCATTGCTCTACTTCTGGGTTCGAACTGGGAAGAAGAAGAACGAAAGGGAGTGGCTGAGAGGGCGTGCCTCCGCCGCTGCTCTACTTTTGGGTTTGAACGGGGAAGGGGAAGTACTAGACGACGAACGGAAGAAGAAAAAAGAGAAGAAGAAAGGAGAGAGGAAGGGAGTGGCTGAGAGGGGGTGTCACCGCCGCTGCTTTGCTTCTGGGTTCAAACAAGGAAGGGGAGGTAGCAGATCTTCACTGCCCCTCACACAGATCGCCAATGGTAACAGAGAAGGCACTAGTTCTCTCCCTCCTCTGTTCGGCGTCGCTGGTACCTGTAACAGTGATTTCTCAAAATTTTCCACTGGGGTCTCACGATTTTGATGCAACCCCAAATCCACGATTTTGAGATCTGACATCCCACATTTTTCTCATCTCACCCCTCTATTTCCCTCAAAACAAATGAAAAAAAAATGAATATTTTTGGAATATTCTCTGTTCTCATCCCCATCCCACAAATCAAATAGAGTAAAAAACATGGATATGATCTAGGAGAAAGGGAGGACTAATGCTAATCCTTTGTGTTTCATTGCTTACCAACTTTTTTTGTTCAAAATCGTTTTTTGCAAACATAAAAAGCTAAATGGAGTTTTTTTTCTTGCCTTTTCAAACATTTTTATGCAAAAATAAATACATGCTTTTTAACTTTTTTGTCAAGCAATTTTGTGACCGGCTTTTGGTTAACTTCTTCAATGTGAAAAGCACAAAAGCCTATTGGACAAGCACTCCCAAATGTAGGCAAGAGTAGAAAATCAGCTCCTTTCTCCTCTTGAAATGTCAAATGAAGAAAATAATTAAAGGCAAATATGTCTATAAAAGGTAATTTGGGTGTATTGAAAAAATTAATAGGTTAGTTGATGTTGTAAACTTTAGGCTGTGTGGTTTGATAGCTTAAGTTCAATTTCGGAAGAGTAAAATTACAAATATGTATAATATAAATACAAAGTTAAAAAATTTCTTAACTTTTGGCTAACTTTAGGGCAAATTTCTTAAACTACCCTTATGGTTTAGCTATTTGGCTAACTTTACCCTTATTATTTAACTATTGTCTTGCACTATCCCTATTGTTTTTTACAATTGCATAAAACCTTCCTTACCGTTAACGTTTCATTATAAACCATTCACATGTGACATCACGTGACTATTATATTTTTCAAAAATCCTTTATTTATCCTTGAAAATGCCCTTTCAGTTTGGACAAAGGTCAGATCTTTCTCTTCTTTTTGTATTTTTTTTCTTTCACTGTTTTCATCTTCCCCTTGCAAAACCATCGCAGCAACTCCAGTACCAAATGAGTCCAACGTACCCATGCTATCAAGATTTATGTATGTGGAGAACAAGTCATCTACCACCTCCCCTTGAGATTTCCTCTTACCCATCCCTTCTACATTGATATCAGAATCTCTACTCGAATTCTCTCTTGCTAATGCCGATCGTTCCAAAACACTAGGGCCCCTGAGCAGTTGGTGAAAGGCGTGGTTTGGGGGCTAGGAAATGGAATGGTGAACAAAGTCAAATTCTACCACTTGGTGAATTGGATTGGTGAATAGGAGAAAAATGGAAGATACCGGCATTGTTTTGGGGCTAGGAACCAAATTAGTGAACATGTCATCAACCACCTCCGCTTTAAATTTCCTCTCACCCATCCCTTCTTTGAAAGGGATGGAATGTTCTTTTAATGGTAGTTGAGAGATGGAATTGTTCGGGTGATGGTTGAGTTAGCCAAGGATGCCACGTGGCTATCTCTGCGGTTGCCCCCCTCTCAGGCCACGTCGACACCATGCATAATAGAAGAGCACGACTAAGGAGTATACTACATAGACAAGGAAGTGAACTCCACCGGGGAAGAGGAAACCTCCCGAAGATCTCGGCAAACGCCCTCATCTCAACAACCCCGGGAGCCCTATCCATTTGGGACACATACACCCAAATACAAATAGGTATTCCCCGCTCGAGGTAAGGGACCTATTTTGGGATTGCATTCTTTGAATACCTCTTTACTCTATCTCTTCAACCCGAACTAACACTATTTCAACCTGCTCGGTCCATCCACATCTTTCTTGATCCTATTGACTTGAGCGTTGGAGTACCTACCTGGGGAATAACTCTTCGGGCCTCTGACCTTTCTCCTAGTTGTAGATATCGGTGCATGGTTTTGTCCTTCCACCCTGGCCTCGTCTGATTGGTAGGACTATCTGATTGTGTCCTCGGTTCAAACACCTCAGATCGGACAACATTGGATTGGCGTCATCTATGGGAAACAAACAAAAAGTAATTTCCCAAACCCTATCCATGCACTAAAAACAACCATGCCTAAGAATACATCCAACCACTCTAGAGCTCATTCCCCATTTTGGGGATCCTACTCACTCTTTAGTTCCCCACCTTGGGAGACCTAGCATTAGGTAGCAGTCGACTCCACGTAGTTCCAAGCCATGCAGCAGAAGGTCAACCATATCTTAGCCATGATGGAAATGCTGGGGGCAACTAGCGCACACCCCCTAAGTTACCCGCCTTGTTGCTTAGACACCTACTATAACTAATCCTCACATTGAGGACCCAAAAGGAGCTATGCGAACAAGCATAGGGCCCAATCCAACTGCAAGCGACCGCAATCATCTAGAAGATATGACTCCCCACCCC